ATAACTGTCAGCAGTTTAACCTGGCCCATGACAGGGCAGGATGTATTCTACTGAGCAGTAGCAATACCTTGGAAGCATTGCTGTTAGTGTTTTGGAACCAAAACACAATATGGGATTTCTCCAATAACAACTGCTAATGCTGACACAGGATCATTGGAACGTTATATCACAAACCATATAACCTAGTAGCTAATTCAATGACTATCAGTTGTTTAAACTTTTTGCTGAAACATGCATGTATCCAGGATGCAACAATCACAAAGTAATAAAAATCCTACTGTTTTTATCCATTTCCAAAACCAATGCACATTATCACTTCCTGTATTGTTTTGGGGATGCTAGGAACAAGATACAAGATATCAAAGTTTCCTATTAACTTCAAAAAAAATAAAGTTCACATCCTCTGAAGTGGTGCCATACAAAATTTCTGTCAATAACTTATTCAAGTACTTCAGAAACCTAGACACAGGACTCCTTGTCACTTTTTCAATATTAAGAAAATTTTACATGTAACAACAAATAAAGATACATTAGTCTTTTAAAATCTAATTCTGTAAAATTATTGCACTGTGGGTTGTCTGTACTTTGATCCACTTTAAGTTTGGAAGAATTTTTACTTTGGTTTCTGATACTTTTAGTACTTTGAATCTACAAGTAAGAACTCAAGCAAATAGCATATAAAGACCACATAAAATTGAGTGAAGCAATTGAGACTCTCAAAATGTAATTTAGAACCTGACTTTTCATCAGACTCAGAAGAATCTTAGATGCGTAGCCTTCCCTCAGAACTGTGAAAAGTTTATCTTTCCTGGGACTCCCACAAACAGAAATAATTTGCTTTAAAATGTTACTGTTAGCATATTGGACCCTAGATTGAGAGAAATTTTATTCTTGAGGATGTAACTGTCAGTTTGCATGAGCATATGCTAACATCACCATCCTTCTAAGCCTCTTTTGCCTTCCATGCTCCTTTTCCTTTAAGACCCAAAGGACTGAGGAACAGCAGTTGAATCTTATCTTGTACGAGGCTAAAGAGAGAAGGATCTCAAGTCTCAGTGTGATGCTGCTACCAGAACACAAGTAAATTGATTAATTTTCCCTAGTTTTAACATATACTCCCATTCTATTTAACAAAACCATAACATTGGCACACTGTAAACAAAGTTTGACACTGCAAGACATCTTTCCCCACTGCCAGCACTTCTACCTTTGGCCTTTCTGAAGATCTTTTTTCTTCTTCTTCCCCCTGCACTCCCTCTTTTTTTTTTTTTCTTTTCTTTTTTGTCCTTGTTTTGTTGCAGTGGTTTCTTTGGAAGGGGTGAAGTAAGCATGCAGTGAAGGATGGGGAGATGAACAAAAAAATGCTGAGGAAAGTTTACAACAAATCTAATCTATCACTTGTGATTTGCATACCTCTTCCATCTGCTTCCAAATACCCTCACATTCATTCAAGAGTTCTTCCTTGGCATCTACAGGACAAACTGAGGCATTGCTGATTTCTGGTAGATCTTCAGCCTATTAACAAGCAAAGAGAACAGTTATCATGTAGAACTACAATCATTATTAACATGATACTGAATCATACTTGCTCCTTCAGGTCAAATATGAACAGAGCAATCCCTATGAATCCAAAGCTTTCAGTTAATTCTCCTATACTTCTAGATAGCATCAAATAATCCAGTAAAATCAGCTAACTATATTACTACAGTAAAATCTGAAGACACTAATAGTGCTTTTTAAAAATTGAATCACAAATAAATTTTCAAAATGACTTTGATGATCTGCAACGGTGTTTTTTATTTCCTCATAACTGTAATAAAGAAACAGTAAGAGAATCTCGCATCTACAAAGCCATGCATTTCTTCCACATGTCTGCAAAGTTTTTAAGCACAGTTACTTCTGCTCTGTCTTCCCATAAATGCCCTAACCTACTTCTTACAACACCTTGAATTTAGAATCTTTTGGATTAGCAAATTGAAGGGTCCTGGAAGTTACTAGAAAAACAAATAAAAGAAAGAGAGCACCAGGACAGCCAAAAGAAAAATCAACCCAACTGCAATTAAAAAGTTTGAGAAACTGTTGGCTCAGACAGGAAACACACAAATTCAGAAATGTACTGCCAGTTAAATCTATGAAGAGATACATTAACAACAACAGCAATTAAGAGGGAAAACCAAGAAGGACCAAAACAGCCCTCAAGGGGATTTTTATTTATTTATTTATTTGTTTGTTTATTTATTTATTTATTTATTGTAGGTAAAACAACCAATAGGAATTTCCTCGATGTACAAGGTACAGGAAGCCTTTGAAAATACTTGAATGGATCACTAGGACCACCAAATACTTAGAGATTAAAAAGAAACATTAAAAAAGATAAAGATCTAAGGAAGAAACAAAAATCTCTGCCTTCCTAACGGTGCACAAATTCCTAACTCAACCTTTTTGTTCATTTTCAGAACAAAAACTCAGCATCAGAGAACGCTATGTTGAAAACCCGAATAATTTCAAAGGAGTGAAATATTCAACTAGTACCTCCAAAGTTTAAGTATGCCATAGCAAAATGGCTTAAAAAAAACCCCAGAATGTCTCACCAAACACTGGAATTATTCTGGAGAACTGAAAAGTAGCAGTACTTCTACTACAATACTTCCTGGCAAATTTGTTGCATCAATAATTAAAAGCAGAACACCAGAAAACTTGGATTGCCATGATCTGATAAGGTCTAACAAGCACTGTTTTTGCAAAGGAAAATCGTTATCTCCTTAAAAGCCTTGGAATGTCTCCATAACATAAAAGAGAACTAGTTCACATAACTTATTAAGACTTCTGAAATGCCTCCAGCAAAGTCCCCCACAGAAAGCTAATAAAGAAACTAAGCAGTCTTGAGATGCAATGTACTTTTTTCTCAGACTAAAACCTGTCAAGGAGGCAAACAAACAAACAAAAAAGCTTGAACAGATAATTTTCATCATGGCAAAAAGGCTCAGCAGCAGAGCTAAGAGGGCTTGAATGGAGGAGGGAAAAAAAAAGGGTGGGGGGAAGGGAGGCAGGAAGAGAAGGTATAATCTTTGGAAATTTGAAAGGAGTCTTGTGGTGGAATAAAAAGTCCTATCCCTGAATTCTCCTACAGTAACACAATCCATCAACATGAAAACATTACATGAAATAAATCTCTCGGTACATAGCCAACTCCTCCCAAATGTTTAAATTACTATAATGACACTGTTATTGTTGACCTTCAAAACTTCCATGATTGACTTCATGCAAAGTTTCAAAGTGTACATATGATGAGATACTATAGGCCTCTGTAGTGCACGACAAACTGACTTGTGGTCCCTAATACGATGCTGTTAGTCACCTTATAAACTACAGACATCAAAGTGCCACGTTCAGATGTTTTTCCTTGTAGCTTGCAGTCTTCCCTATTTTTGAATGGTAAAATTAGGTTTCTATTGTACATCATACCTGAAAAATGAAGACTTTTTTTTGCACTTCATTAACATTAAAGCATCCCAGTTTCAACCTGTCATTCCTTCTTGCCTCGTTTTAGAACTACATAATTAGGTAAAAAATACACGCAAGGACAACAGAGCGTCACAAGCTCCGTGACCGAACAGGCGAGCTTTCTGGGAAACGTTTCACGTCAACAAATACACAACGACCAACTACGGGAAGAAATTCAGAGACAAGAAAGGAAAGTCACAGGCGGCGCCGGAAAACTGACAGGAGGAAAAACCAAACCAGACCAGACCACGGAAAACCAGGCGTTCCCCACGGGAAGGGGAAGAATAAAGCGGGCTACAGACAACACCACAAAAGACACAGAGAGGGAGCCCCCGTTCCCCGGAACGTAACCCCCAGCACCAGGCCAGCGGCAGGGAGACTGAGGAGGGCGGTTCCCCG